TCTCAAATTATGTACTTAAAATGGGTGTACTTACCATATAAACATTATTACTAAATATTTTTTTTAAATGAAGTGATTACTGATCCAGCACAAGAAGCTAAGCCTGCTTATTTCTAACATAGTTATTTTCTTATTTGCTTTTCCTTCCCCATTGTCCCCTCTAAGATAATGTTGGCTCCTTCCCATCTCTTGTGGAGTCTAGGGATGGAATGTGGGGAGGAAGGCAGGAGTGAGTACTGGCTGAGACTCGAGGCTGGGTGTCCAGGAGGGCAGTTTGTGAGGAAGGTGCACAGTTTGGCTTTAGGCACTCAGGGCCTCATCTCAGGACTGTGGGTTTCCTGGTTGGGTTTGTTTAGTGTTGTTGAGATAGGATTAAGTCACTCCAGGAGAAAGGTACAATTGGCCTCAGAGGAGGAGGAAGTAGAGCTAGCAAAGAATCCGAGGCAAAGTCCTCAGAGATGTGGAATAACTGAGAGAAAGGTTTTATAGAACCTTGGAGGAGAGGTTTTTACCCACAAATAACAGGGTTACAAGTACTGAGGCAGTAGAATGAATAGCTAATTGATTTTGGTAAAATGAGCGTCAGACCCACAACTTGCAGCCAGCTTGAAAAGGAATCCTGATGCTCCTGCTTACTCTGAACAACTTATTGAGCTTCACTCACTCCCAGTCCATTAAGATGGGGACAGATAAGCCTTTGAACTAGCCATTCATTCTGGGCATTCAGTGAAAAAATGTGTATAATGAGCATAGCACCGCCCTTGCCGTTGTAGCTCAGTTGGTTAGGCGTCATTTCTTGTACAGAAAGGTTGCTAGTTCGATTTCTGGTCAGGGTACATGCCGGGGTTGCAGGCTCAACCCCCGCCCCACCGGTAGTGGCCATGCAGGAGGTAGCCAATTGGTGTTTCAATCTCTCACATCAATGTATCTCTCTTTCTCTTCCTCTCTTTCTAAAAATCAATAAAAGTACTTTAAAAAGAAAAAAGAAAAAAGAATGTAGCACAGGCCTGAATGTACTTAGTTTTAGATGCTATTATCGTGAACAGGTGGTCAGTTCTCATTTGTTCTTAACTAATATTACGTATTTGTCGTGTGCCTGGTGTGCAATTAGATTTGTATGGATCATCCCGTTTATTAGGTGACTTCCCAAGGTGAATTGTGCTCTGCGAGTATAGGAACCCAGGAAATATGGTTCAGAGACTGACTCTTCTTCTGAAAGAGCATTTTCAAGAGGGAAGGAAGTAGCCTGCAAGGGGCACAGGGAGTGGGAGGAAGGAAGGAGATGGGCAGATTGTAGAACATTCTTTCAGGGAATTTGGAGATAGAGGTAAGAGGGAAGTGAGTAGTCAAAGTAAGATTTCTTAAGAGAGACCTGAGCTTCTTTAGTGATTATTTGTCTTAGGTAATGAACAGCACTTATAAAGTCCATTGAACGGTGTACATTTTTTGAGTGATTGCTGCGTTGCTCTTAGAATTCCCCTAATGTATGTGGGTGGGACATTGTCTCCAGGGAAGATGGGTCCAGTCTCCTCTACCTTGGTTCTACAGCAGGCTGTTTCCCCAGGCAATCCTAGCTCTGGGTACAGCAGACCTTGCACCTTGAAATTCTCAAATTTCTGACAGGATACCATTTGTAACAGTGCCGCCTTTTTGTTATTTGGTGACAGGTCCTGAGGAGAGGGGAGCATAGATGTGGCTCCCCACTCTATCCTGCTTTCTAGTGCCCACAATGTTGACAACCACAGGCTGAAATGGGGAGGAAATGTATTTGTGCTAGGGCCAGGGACCTGCCAGCCCTTCCCCATGCAAACCATTTAGTGCAGTGGTTCTCAACCTTGGCTGCACATTAGAATCACCTGGGAATCTTTTTAAAATCCTGATTTCTGGGCCAAGGTTGAGAACCACTGATTTAGTGCAGTGGTCGGCAAACCGCGGCTTGCAAGCCACATGTGGCTCTTTGGCCCCTTGGGTGTGGCTCTTCCACAAAATACCACGTGTGGGCGTGCACGTACAGTGCGATTGAAACTTCGTGGCCCATGCGCAGAAGTTGGTTTTCGGCCTGGGCGAGTCTATTTTGAAGAAGTGGCGTTAGAAGAAGTGGGAGGTGTGGGTCGGTAGGGCGAAGGGAGAGGGGGCGCAGGTGGGCCGCAGGATACGCAGCGCGAGGGAGGCGCACTTGATTCATGCACCAATTGAGTGAGCCAGTCAGTCAGTAGTCTCATTGTGCAGTGGTTAGTGTCCTTCGTCCACAGCACAAGTGGTCTGCTTTGAAAGACCTGGAGAAGGAAGATATGTTGATTTTTAACACCTGGAATAGTATTCCTGACTCATATAATCAACTGAAAAACTAGTGTTTACTGTTCTTTCCTTATTCCGGTCTACATATTTATGCGAACAATCATTTTCAAGCAAGAACTTTATCAAGAGTAAATTGAGAAGTCGTCTTATTGATGAGAACCTGGAATCATGCCTAACATTAAAAACAACAACATACAAACCTGACTTACCCAAACTTTCCAAGGAGATGCAAGGCCATTGTTCACATTAGTGTTTGTCAGTCGTTGTCATGATTTAATTTTGTGGATATTGTAAGGAATTTAATTTTATCAATAAATAATATCGTTATTAAGTATGCTATCAAGTTTTATTCAACGTGCCTGTAGTTTAACTAAGACTTAAAACTTTAAAGTTTATTAAGTTAATTTTAGGGAACGTTGTGGAGTGAAAGAAGATGTAGTGTCGAGGATTGAGAAAGGTATGTTGAGATGGTTTGGACATATAGAGAGGATGAACAAAAGGAGATAGACAAAACAAGTATACAAGACGAGTGTGGATGGGAGAGTTGGAAGGGGTCGACCTCAGCGAACATACCTCAATCAGATTGAGGACGTTTTTAGCAAAGGCCAGCTTATGAGTACCCTAATTAAGTTAATAACAATGTGCCTACCTATATAGTTTAAGTTTAAAAAATTTGGCTCGCAAAAGAAATTTCAATCGTTGTACTGTTGATATTTGACTAATGAATTTGCCGACCACTGATTTAGTGGAACTCAAGCAATTAACAGACTGCAGTAAAGTGATCCCTGAATAAGTACCGTATTTTTCCACGTATAAAACGCTATTTTTTTCTAAAATCATTAGACTGAAAATCGAGGGGCGTCTTATCCATGGAAGTCAGCCCAGGAGGGAGCCATGCTGGGATATATGAAGTGCCTCATATATCCCAGCTACAAAGGCAAACTGACAAGTCAAACAGGCTTCCTCCAATCACGAGCCTTATTACTGACATCAGCTGATGCCATAATTGGAGGTGGAGGTGGAGAGTGCACAGATGCAACAGGGAACAGAGCGTTCTGAACCCATAAAGATATCAAAAATAAAAAGATAAATACTGGTAAGCAATTGTTTTACTCTGCAAAATTCAAACTGAATGTAATCAGCTATGCAAAAGAGCATGGAAATAGAGCTGCAGAGAGACAATTTGGACCTCCTCCCACTGAGTGTATGATTAGACAGTGGAGAAAACAGGAAGAACAACTCCTTGAGATGCCAAGAAAGAAGAAGGCCTTAAGAGGAAAACCAGCACAATGTTTAAAATACTGATTTCTTAATTTGGGGTTGGCAAAGTGGGGGGCATCTTATACATGGGGGTGTCTTATACCTGGAAAAATAGGGTAGCTTCCATTTCCTGCTACTATTACAGAGGAGAGAAAGAGAAAATGTCATTCTATGTAATCTAGGATGTCTCTGACAGAACCATAAGCTGGTGTTTGCATCTGCCCTAATCCAGTGATCACAGGATAACTCCTGTGTGGGGCAGGAAGTGGGAGTGCACCGATTGCACAGAAACCAAGACTCCCCATGAATGAAGAGATACCAAGGAAATAGTGGTTCAGTGATGTGGTAGGTAATGCTAGGTAGATTGTGAGGACAGGAAGTATAATTTATAAGACATGGAACTTTTATCCCTTATATAAAAGGGCCAGGTTGAACATATCATAAATCTAAATTTCCCCAAAATAGCAATGGTTATACTGCAATACAGTGAAAGAGAGTTCTATCTTTTCTTTTTTTCTCCACTAATCCCATCATGACAGTACTGAGTAGTTAACAATATATATTTGATAATGGAATGTTCATAGGCATCTGCATTTAGTTTCAATTTTCTTTTATGGGAATTTTGTTTTTATTTTAGAAAAGTAGTCTTTCATTGAAAACATTGAAGGAAGTGAGCTTAAAATTATGCAAAGAATGAAATTTTCTTCACTTGCTAATTTTGTTTTAAAAATTACCTTTTCTACAGATTTGTCTGTATAATCTGATTTGTTTAAATTCCCACTCCTTCAATGGTTGGATACTTCCTACCAAATTCTGTTCTGGAATTTTTTTTTTTATCCTCACCTAAGGATATGCTTATTGATTTTTAGAGATTGGGGATGGGGGAGAAACATGGATATGAGAGAGAAACATCGATAGGTTGCCTACCACACTTACCCCGACTGGGACTTAACCAGCAACCTAGGTATGTGCCCTGAATGGGAATCGAACCCACAATCTTTTACGTATGGGACGACGCTCCAACCAACAGAGCCACCTGGCCAGGGCTGTTTTGGAATTTTTTTAATGTCTCAAGTACACTCACAGGTTTGCAAATTGAGTTTTTCAAGGATATACACTAATATAAAATACTTTAAAATTATCTTGTATGTCAGGATTCGGGGAACCTTTTTTCTGCCAAGGGCCATTTGTATATTTATAACATCATTTGTGGGCCATACAAAATTATCAACTTAAAAATTTGCCTGCTATGTTTGGTCAAACATTTAATTAACTCACCCTTAATGCTGTGACAGGCCCAGACCAAATTATTTCACAGGCCTTATGAGGCCCTGGGGCCAGACTTTCCCCATCCCTGTTGTATATGATATAACCTTATGCATTTTATTTCTGTTTACTCTACTATGCTCAGTCTTCTTCTTTTTTCTTTTAATTTAATCCAGAAATAGGCAAAAAGAAATATTACAAGTACAGCAAAGAGAAGACATTAAAGTGGCTGGAAAAAAAGGTATAGTACCCCTCCAGTGCCTATGGCAGAATGAATTCAGTACATCTTTTTAAAACTAGAGAATGTGGTAAGTCGTAAACCAAAGACTATCTCGTATTTCTAAGACAGGAAAACTATGTAAGGATATCCAATATGAGAAGAAATCTTTTACTTTTCATCCTCCCTAACTCATGTCTCTGGAGTTTGCTAGATGGGTTTTTTGTTTGTTTCTTTGTTTGTTTGTTTGTTTGTTTTGTTTTGACCTGCATCCCCATTTTCCCATGATCTTCACCACTGAATGAAAGAAGTTCTTGCTCTTTGTTGGTGTAGACTTGAATCTTCCAAGCTAGACAATACCGGGCCTGATGTGCATTTGCTGCGGTTGGTCCTACAGTTGTCTCAGAGGTGGGTGTTGCTCACACGCAGCCAGGCAGGGGCCTGAGGCCGACTGGATTCAGGCTTAGAGGATGTGTGTCCCACTCTGTATCTGGCTGCTGAAGAGGAGTCATCTTCCAGGCGCACTGTGTACTTAGGGATCCTAAGAAGTAGACTGACTGCATGTAAGGTCTGGTAGTGTTTCCAAATTGGATTTAGTAAGTCACAATCAGTATTGGAATGGGATAGGACAGATAGGATGTGTTAAAATTTTTTTTTTTTTATAAATATATTTTATTGATTTTTTACAGAGAGGAAGGGATAGAGATAGAGAGTTAGAAACATCGATGGGAGAGAAACATCGATCAGCTGCCTCCTGCACATCTCCCACTGGGGATGTGCCCGCAACCCAGGTACATGCCCTTGACCGGAATCGAACCTGGGACCCCTCAGTCCACAGGCCGACGCTCTATCCACTGAGCCAAACCAGTTTCAGCAGGATGTGTTAAAATTTAACAAAGTAAGGACAAGTATTAAGTATGGCTCTATGAAACATATTTATATATGTGTTTCAGTATTGGGTTGCTGTGTATTTCTTACTGTGGGTTGTGGCTAAAAAGACAACAACACAAAAAATACTTTGAAACCCATTATTCTAAGGATGCAGTGTACTTTGACATTGGTTAAGAATCTTACCAGAGGATATCTGTTGCTGAGTTTTTGCAAATCAGTGATACCAGCAGTTACAGTACTGATTCCTAGAATTCTCTTCTACTGTCTTCCATCTTGTGAAAAACCTGTTCATTATATGTTACTGGGCATATTAGGAGCCTGGGAGCATGGTAATGAACTTATAAAAGTAAAATTAATTAGGCTCCTACTGTACAGCATAGTGAAAAAATTTTAAAGGTGCCTCTATGTTTCATTTTTCATTCACCTTAGTAATAGTCTACTATTAGTGAAGAATGAGTGTAAGTACTGAACCGAATCTTGACATTTAGTTTTTGCTCTTAACAAATAATAATGACATGAATAGCAAAGTGAAATTTATATTTATTGTGTTTTCTTTCGTAGATTTTAGGATTTGGGAAATTTACATTATTTATTTTGTTTAGAAAATTATTACATATAAACTTTATGCCAGGTTCTGTTCTAAGGGTCTTTACATACAGGGTGGGGCAAAAGTAAGTTTGCAGTTATGAGTATGTGAAGCAGAATTTATTCTTTTGTTATTATTTATTAACTTGTATTATTTTCCATACAAATAACTATAGCTCTACTTTTGCCCCACCCTGTATATTAACTCATTTAATCTTTATAACAATCGTATGAGGTAGTACTATTTTTATCTCCATTTTACTGAGAGGTTAAGTAATTAGCCCGTGGTCACAGGGCAGAACCAAGCAAGCAGCCTGGTTCCAGAGTCAGTGCTCTCTCTATTGTGTAGCCCTTAAGTATATGGAGATCATCCTGAAATGCTATGGCTGCTGCTCAACCTTCTCCAAATATGCAGCTGTCTCTCCTCTGATATCTGCTGAAGAAATATTTCTTCCTGGATCTTAAATGAATTGAAGACTTATCTGGAAAGTTGTGGATTTCTAGAGTTAATTCAAAATACCCTAATATTCCCCTTTTGGCTATTTCATAGGTTAATCAGACCGTGGCAGCATTAAAAACCAGTAACATAAATGTCGGTGCCCGTGTACAGTCAACTGCATTTTTCTCCGGTCACCATATTTCCAGTGACAAGGAAGGTAAGTAAATAGATTCATCAGAAATTATTTTTGTCTGGAGTGTGTTGCTTATGTTATAAATGCCTATCTTATGATTTTAAAATCTTAATGTTTCAGAAGTTTACATTCTTACCATGTCTTCTCATCTTGTGACAGGTGTGCATTTCTTTTCAGAAACACGTAATGTTTCTACCATAGGTCACATCTGTCACTAACTGATACTTTTAAATCATTCATTCAGCAAATATTTATTTTGCACTAATAATAACAACCCTAACAGCTCTGCCTTTCCTTTACTGAGGGTGTATCATATGCCAAGCCTTTTGCTAAGTTGCCAGTATACACACATTATCTCACCTGACTCCAGTAAGTCTCATTCTTGAGGCTTTGTCCAAAGTTGCATTGCTGGTAAAATGGTGAAGCTAAGCTACTAAGGAGCTGGTTTAGTCCTAAGCCCACATTCAAGCTTCTTGTTGTATTATTTGTGTGGTACAGGCTGTCTAGTGAGCTGCATCTGTTTGCATCTTTCTCTAAAGAAGCATCTGTCCTACATTAGGTCTCAGTACTTCAATTTTAGATAAAAATTGATCCATTTAGCAATTTTTTATTCTTTGGGGTTATTAAAGTGCATTCTTTTGGTGCTTTTTCCAGTGTAGTATACTCATGTATATATAGATGTTGAATAAAAACAGCTATATAGTGCAATTAACATTCTCAAATGGTGGGGCAGAAATTATTCTGACCTTAACCTTCAGTACAGTGTTCCCCTGTTCTGGGTATACAATTCTGAAACACCTGACTTTAGTCATTAAAAAGTAAAAATAGGGACAGTGCCCTGTTTGTGATTTATCATAATTGAGGCAGTCTTTGGTTTGCAGAAATATACCTTGAACACCTAGTACAGACAGATGATAGCTGGCTCCAGCCATTCTGTGAATGGTGGACAGCACCCTCACTATACCAGCTGCAATCAGGTTCTTTGGTTGGTTTTAACAAAAGGAAAGGTTGTAGCAGTCAGATAAGTGGATGGATAGATGGATAAAACCATAGCATTTTTTTTTAAGTAGGAGAAGTGATGTTAGAGGTTATTTAGGCAGATGTCATTTTAAAAAATGAAACATTGGAAGATTAAAAATGGCAGTGGAGTAAGTGGATACGCACAACATGCTCCCAGGACCAAAGTGGAATTACAACTAAAATACAGAAAAACTTCCTTAATAATCAACTGAAGACTCACTGGAGAGAACCCTGAAAACCAAGGATAGAAAGTGGAGACTGCATAGAGACTGGTAGGAGGGACAGAGGTGCAAAAGGGCTGGCTGGGCTCCCACAATGAAGTCCCAGGCTCTCACATGAGATATCTCAGCGTGTGGGATTGCCACCTGAAACTCTGGCGTCTAATCCCCAAGCTGGACCTCCCAGAACTGAGAAGGTTACCCACGTAACATCTGACTGTGAAAAGCAGCGGGGTTGCTGTCTACCAGGGAGAGATGGCTAGAAATGCAACACATTTAAAGGGCCAACGGACAAAATTCCCTCTGGAGCCACTCACCTTGTACTCTGGCAGAGGGAGAACATAGTGGACTGGAGCTGTGTGAGAAGAAGACTGGATCAGGGTCTCTGGGGTTAGAAACCAGAAGGCAGACACCCTGGTTTCTTGTGCTGTCATTCCCTTGCAATGAGGAGATCATCTTTCTCACAAAGACAATGGCTATCTAATGGTTTTGCCTCGAGGGGTGAGGGGGGAAGAAAGTTGACCCACTCTATTGGAAAACACCTTGCCTTAAGGTGCAAAGTATCTGAGGCCCATTAAAAGACTGAAAATAGCAATTAGCCTCCAGGCAGAAGCAGTTGCCCTTCCCTGTTGAAAAAATTCTCACTACACTTGTGGACGATTGCCTGAGGGCTATTCAAAACAAAATCCTTTAAGTCTGTAGGCAGAGGCAATCTCTAGAGTCTTTGAGTCTTTACCTGATCTAATTAGTCAGAAATAGCACTTGACACTATTCTGCACTAGAGATTGAGAGGCGTAGCAGATCTATCTAATACCTAATCACAAACCCAAACGGGCAGCAAAAATGAGGAGACAAAGAAACAACCCCCAAATGAAAGAGCAAGAGAATTCTCCAGAAGAAAAGATAAATGAAATAGAGATATCAACAAAATATTAGCAAATTGGATCCAGCAATATATTAAAAAGATCATAATCATGACCAAGTGTGATTTGTTCCAAGGATGCAAGGCTGGTACAATATTCACAAATCAATAAACATGATACATCACATAAACACAATGAAACACAAAAATCACATGATCATAGCAATCGATGCATAAAAAAGCATTCGACAAAATCCAGCACCATTTTTGATAAAAACTCTCAGCAAAGTGGGAATAAAGGGAGCATATCTCAACATGATAAAGGTCATAAATGACAAACCTACAGCCAACATCATACTCAATGGGCAAAAACTAAAACCGTTTCCCCTAAGAACAGGAACAAGACAGGGATGTCCGCTTTTACCACTCCTGTTCAACATAGTACTGGCAGTCCTAGCCACAGCCATCAGACAAGAAGAAAAAAAAGGCATCCAAATTGGAAAGGAAAAAAGTAAAACTCTCATTATTCACAGATGATATGATATTGTACATAGAAAATTCTAAAGACTCTACCAAAAAACTACTAGATTTAATAGATGAATTTGGCAGTGTAGTAAGATACAAAATCAGTACCAAAAAATGGATGGCTTTTTGTATACACCAATAATGAATTCTCAGAAAGAGAAAACAAAAATTCCATTTACCATTGTAACAAAAAAAAATTAAGATACTAAAGAATAAACTTAACCAAGAAGGTAAAAGACTTGTTCTCAGAAAACTACAGGACATTGAAAAAGAGATAGAAGTTATAAACAAGTTGAAAAGCATACTGTGTTCATAGATTGGTAGAATCATCACTAAAATGTCCATACTACCAAAGGCAATCTACAGATTCAGTGCAATCCCTATTAAAATACCAATGGCATATTTCACAGATCTAGAACAAATACTCCAAAAATTTATATGAAACCAAAAGAGACCCCCATAGCTACAGCAGTCTTGAGAAAGAAGAACAGAGTTAGAGGAATCACAGTACCCGATATCAAGTAATACTACACAGCCACTGTAATCAAAACGGCCTGTTACTGGCACAAGAACAGGCATATAGATAAATGGAACAGAACAGAGACCCCATAAATCAACCCAAGCCATCATGCTCAATTAATATTTGACAAAGGAGACAAGAGTATACAATGGAGGAAAGACAATCTCTTCAGTAAATGGTGTTGGGAAAATTAGGTAAATGCAAAAAACAAAAACAAAAAAAACTAGACCACCAACTTAAACCATACACAAGAATAAACTCAAAATGAATAAAATACCTAAATGTAAGTCAAGAAACCATAAAAATTCTAGAAGAAACCATAGGCAACAAAATCTCAGACATCTCTCATAGCAATATGTTTACAAATACATCTCCTAGGGCAGTGGTTCCAACCTTTTTTGGCCATGCCCCACCTAAGCATCTCTAAAATCCTGATGCCCCCCTGTGACATATAATTCTTATTCAAAAAGTGAACTTCTCTTCACATGGTGGAAGAAGGCTAGAAGGCCATAAACTTGGTCTAAACAAGCTTCCAGAGAACATGGCATCCAGGAAAGAGAAAAATAAAAGAACAAAAGGACAGTTGAAGTACTGAGGAAGAAATCACCTAGAAATTGTTAAAAAACAACAACCACAATATAAAGTGATATGAAAAAATAGCAAATAAAGTTTCAAAACATATAATAGATAACTGAAATGCATAAATATGACACTATGTATTCATATACTGTATATGAGGCCCCTTGAACCATAAGAAATGCAAAAAATTCACTGTTAACTCATTCTCAAATTGCCCCCCTTAAAAATCAGATTGCCCCCTGTGGGGCATGTGCCCCACATTGGGAACCACTGTTCTAGGGCAAAGGAAACTAAGGAGAAAATAAACCAAAGGGACTACATCAAAATAAAAAGTTTCTGCTCAGCAAAAGAAACCATCAACAAAATGAAAAGGGAGCCCACTGTATGGGAGAATGTATTTGGCAATGATACGCCTGATAAAGGGTTAATATCCAAAATATATAAGGAACACATGCAACCTAACAGAAAGAAAACAAACAATCCATTTAAAAAATGGGCAAATAGACAGTTCTCCAAAGGGACACACAGATGGCCAAGAGACATATGAAAAAATGTTCAAAGTTCACTGATCATCAGAGATGCAAATTAACACAACAATGAGGTATCACTTCACACCATCAGCAAATCAACAAATGACAAGTACTGGTGAGGATGTTGAGAATAGGGAACCCTACTATACTGTAGTGGGAATGCAGACTGGTGCAGCCATTATGGAAAACTGTATTGAGTTTTCTCAAAAACTTAAATATGGAACTGCCATTTTATCCAGTGATCCCACTTCTAGGAAGATATCCTAAGAAATCAGAAACACCAATCAGAAAGAATGTATGCACCCCTATGTTCATAGCAGCACAATTTACAATGGCTAAGATCTGGAGACAGCCCAAGTGCCCATCAGTAGATGATTAGATAAAAAACTGTGGTACATTTATACCATGGAATACTATGTAACATTATGGAGGGACTTGGAGAGTATCATGCTAAGTGAAATAAGTCAGAGGAAGGCAAGTATCACGTGATCTTACTTATATATGGAATGTAACAAAATAAACTGATGAACTGAGTGGATCTGGAGACATGGAACCATGAGTGTGGAACCTCGGAGAGAAGGCAGGGGAGGGTGGGTGGGGTGGGAGGTAATCACCCAAAGATCTTGTATGCATATATGCATAACCCATGGATGCAGACAGTGGGGTGGTGAGGGCCTGGGGTGGGTGTGGTGGAGAAAGTCAATGGGGGAGAAAGGGGACATATGTAATACTTTCAACAATAAAGATTTTAAAAAATAAATAAATACAAAATGAGAATTTGTGGCCTCAGAGAAATGGACGACTGTCCCAGGTCACCATCCTGGCTAGGAGGCCAGGTCATCTGCTCCCAATGCAGTGTTTTTGCTAATCTCTACATATAAGTGTATATTGCCATTTAGTGTCCCAGCCACTCTTTATGCTAGTTCCTTTTTCAAGATCTTTAGCTTGATATGCTACCAAAAGATGCAAACACTTAAAATTCTTAAAATGACGTTCTTAAAATTATTTTGTCCATTCATGACTCATTGGATAATTGCTCGCTCAGAACCATGAGCACATTTTGAGAAATGTTCCATTTTTACATTGGCAGTAAAAACCTCTTACTGAAGACTTTTTGAGATCAGGTGATCCAAGAAGCAAACACTTTCTAACAAATACTGAGGCAAATTGTTATCTTAACTTGAAGGTAGAAGAGAAAGAAAAAAATAAGCTAATAAATATCTTAGCAACAAACCTGGGATATTGATAGTTTATATCCTGATGTGATTATCCTATCTTATGATTAAATTTGATTATCCCCTGCATAAAATACTGAATTAAGGAACAGGGCTTTAAAACAGATTTTATTGTGTTATGTAACTGCACTTAATTAATACTCAGTACCAAGGATCCAAATGCTTTAGAATTAATGATTATACACTCTGCTGAATTTAGTGTTGTTTCTTTTTTCATTTTATTAGTTTGGAAGAATATATAATATAATGTTCAGGACTCTTATAAAGCAAGAGCTTATTAGTTAAATGAGCATACTCATTACTGTTAAATAATTAGATTTATTCTATATTGAAACAGACCTAGAGAAACAATTAGTCTTTTTCAAAGGGCTAACAATATTTCATATTGTTATAACTGATTTTTGAACTTTATTTGTATTCAAGGGCCTCAACTAAGAAAAAAACCCTGAATTTGGGTTTTATCTATCATTTAGTGGGCATCTATTGTGTTGTACTTGTATTATATGATCATATCTTGGATATCTTATATCTTCATCCATCATAATACCTCACTACTCTGACAGATATACATTAGCATCCCCATTTTACACATGAGAAAATGGGTGAGAAGCTTGAATTTTTAAGGCCATATAAAGTCAGAATTTGAACTCTGATCAACTTGACTTTAAATCTTTCATAATTATTACTATAATTTTTTTTTTTTTACTCTTCTGTTTCTTTCAGAGGACTATATTCGTTATGCCCATGGCCTGATATCTGATTACATCACTAAAGAATTAAGTGATGACTTATCTAAATATTTAAAGTGAGTATTGTTCATCTTCAGTCATAATTAATAAGTACCTTTTCACTTCTTGGTGTTCCAGCAATATGATTTCTTTATGACTTATCATATCACTGTTTCTGATTAGAGATTATTTTAGAGTTATGTTATAAACTGTATGGTTTGGAGTTGATTTTTAATGGACATTCCTTGATTGAAATGAATTGGTTTAGTGGATACTGATTGGAGAACTTGTGTTAGGATTGGAAGTATGGGTTGGTGTGATTTAGACAGTGAACTATATTAATATTTTATCCCTCCTTAGACTTAATAAATTTGGTTCTTTTGATCATTTTAATAGAAATAAAGTGGCAAAGAAAGGTGTTGTGTAGAATATTTTTGAAAGTTACATTTAAAGATTTGTACCATTTATATTAGATACTGAAATTGGAATTGTCCGAACTAAAAAATAAGATGTTCACTGAGTAACTTTATTACACCCAGCACTTGGAATCCAAAAAAGGAAAAAATAGAGTCTTGTGTCTTTAAGGACAGAAGGGTTTAAGAATAACCTCATTTGTGTTCCTTTGTATAATAATGAAAGCATACTATACTAATTAGACCGGACAGCCAAACAACCTTCCGGACATCATTCTGGACGACCTTTCTGACAAAGCCATGGCGGCAGGGGCCAAGGCAGAGGCGCGGTTAAGGGTGATGAGGCAGGCAAGCGAGTGGTTAGGGGCGATCAGACAGGCAGGCGAGTGGTTAGGGGCAATCAGGCAGGCAAGCAAGTGGTTAGGGGTGATCAGGCAGGCAAGCAGAGTGGTTAGGGACAATCAAGCAGGCAGGCCAGCGGTTAGGAGCCAGCGGTCCTGGATTGCAAGAGTGATGTCCGACTGCCGGGCCTAAACCAGCCGTCGGACATCCCCTGAGGGGTCCTGGATTGTGAGGGGTGCAGACCAGACTCAAGGGACCACTCCCTCCCCCTCCTGCCCCCGTGCCCAAATTTTGTGCACTGGTCTTCTAGTATAATATAAGACTTTACCTTAAAAAAAAATTTTTTTTTCTAGATTTAGGTAACTGTTTTTCCGATTTTATGTGTGTGATAAGTTAATGTACTTTCTCATCCCTATAATTACATTTTCCTCTCATACATGAAGATAAAATGACTTTTTAATAGATTTTAGTTGATGTTTTTAGCAAATTGCATAGGTCCTCCTTTAAAAAACAACTAGCAGAAATTGTTTTTTGTGGTAGTTAAAATGTGTTGAAAGCCCCCTTTAAATTGATAACCATATCCTTCTGTTTAATATTTCCCTGGATTACTTAGTTGCTCCTTATCTAGTTAGATACCTTATGTCTTTGTACTCCATTATATTTCACATTCCTTTCTTTCTACTAAAATTTTTAAGCTTAGGTTAAAGATTTGGGGAGAAAGATATGTCAATTAAACTTTTCTCTGGTGGAAAAAAAAGTAAATTTTGTGTGCCTTTTTGTCAACAGTTAATATAATTTTAACTTTTAAATATGTGCTAGATTCATTATTTATGAAGAAGAAATACTATAATGCCAAAAATGCAAATTTGTAAAGGCTAAAGAAAAGCAATTTGATTTCAACAAATGAGTTCTAATTTTATTTTTTAGTTCAGACAATTCCCATACAAGGAATTAGTGAAATGAAGATTTATTGATTGATTGATTTAAATTTTGTAATTGATTATTTATTTATTTATTATTTTTTAATCCTCACCCAAGGATATTTTTCTATTGATTTTTAGAGAGAGTGGAAGAGAGAGGGAAAGACAGAGAAAAATATCAATGTGAGAGAAGCACATCGATTGCTTCCCGCATGTGCCTTGATTAGAGCTCGGGCCGGGGAGGAGCCTGCAACCAATACTTGCCCTTGACCAGAATCGAACCCGGGACCCTTCAGTCTGCAGGCCAATGCTCTATTCACTGGGCCAAACCAGCTAGGGTGAAGATTTATTCATTTAGACAAATTTCATTCTTTACACTGAAATGATTGTACATTAAAGTATATAGAGCTGAAGCTGTCAGAAGAAAGAAGACTTACGAATCTTAAATTGGCCCAGCTTTTCTGTTTGCTTGTCTAGGAAAAGCCAAGACTAAAAATCTTATTTTTCACTCCATAGGCTTCCAGAAGATTCCGCTTCATTGCCAAAACCTCCATCAAAGGTAAGAAGCTGTGACTAAGATATCTTGGGGAACGTGGAAAAATGTTATACTTTTACCATATACATTTAGTTTGCTGTAGTATATTTTAAAACATTCTAAATCCATCTTGCATGGAGTGATGTTATGTGGAATAAAGATTGTACGGGGCTCACCATCAATTTTTTTTATTTTTTGTAGATTTTACCTGAATAATAAAGTACTGTCAAAACCCAAATAAGAGTTGGTTAACCAGATACCTATATAAAAATAGAGTAGATATCCTATATAATAAAAGGCTAATATGCAAATCGATGAAACAGCAGAACAACCAGTCGCTATGATGTGCACTGACCACCAGTGGGCAGATGCTCAATGCAGGAGCTGCCCCCTGGTGGTCAGTGCACTCCCACAGGGGGAGCACTGCTCAGCCAGAAGCCAGGCTCACGCTGGCGAGCACAGCAGCCGTCGCGGGAGCCTCTCCTGCCTCTGCAGCAGTGCTAAGGATGTCTGATCTCCCGCCTCCGCGGTAGCACTAAGGATGTCCGACTGCTGGCTTAGGCCCACTCCCCACAGCCTAAGCCAGCAGTCGGACATCCCCAAGGGCTCTCGGACTGTGAGAGGGTACAGGCCAGGCTGAGGGACCACCCCCCCCCAAGTGCACAAATTTCATGCACCGGCCTCTAGTATAATTAAAATTAAATATTCTTAGCCAGATCCTGTAATTGTCTTTATTAATCACCAGGAATACTAAAACTTTGCTAAATCTAGTTGTTACTGATACAAAGGTACACAGAGCATGATTTCTGTAACACAAAGACTCCTTTGAAAAAGGATGACCATACTGTTTTTCCTATACTTGAAGTGATCAACAAAATTTATGTATAATATTTATCTGTTAGTGGAAAGCCTTTTCCTTTTTCAGATGTTCTCAAACTGCCACCCATAGCTCCTCTGCACCATGGACTGCAGCTGTGTTTGTCTCCAGATTGGAGAGTAGAGAAGTCAGTCACACACCACACCTGTGGCACACTGTGGCATCCAGTCCAGCCTGACCTCTGAGACAGAGAAATAGACACACATGCCAGCCTATCAGTGGGGCCATTCTCTTGCCAGCAAAATAGCAAATGCCTTAGAATGTAAAGTGGACATATTGTGGATGTTGAACAACTTTCCTTTTTCCCTGCCTTCAGGGTGGCAACATTCTTGGGACTTTTTTGTATCATGTCCTGTTTGGAGGTGGTGGCAGCTCTAAAAACATTTATTACTTTGATTTTTAGAAAGGATGGAAAATTTACAGTGCATCTGTAGGCCATTTTCAGTTGATTATCAAAGGAGGTTTCTCTTTCACTCTCTGGGGGAATAGCACTGGGCAGAAGTCAAAACACACTTCTTCCAGTCCAGTGGTCCACTGTCTCTGACAATGGCACTAGGGGACAGAGACATAATTGTCTAATTGAGAGGATAGGCGTGTTGGTGTCTTTCTTATTTCTCTCTCTCCAAAAACTAAGCATATATCTTTCTCCCAAATATCCATCTTCCTTGGTAACTAAGAGATTATTTATGAATGGCTCTAAACCAATTCTTGAAGCTTTTAGCCTTTGATTCTGGGTGATGTGTTTCATAAGTTTATTCTTCTTGGATCCAGTTTTCTGATTTCTTGTTTTAATTTCCAAAATGTAAGTTGTTTGTGACTTCTTTACTTATGATTTAGGTGAGGGGTCAGCAAACTTATTCTGTAAAGGCCAGTTAGTATTTTAGGCTTTGTGAAGCAGATGATCTCTGTCGCAGCTACTCAACTCTGCTGTTAAAAGTGCAAAGACAGCCACAAACAATTCATGAATGAACCAGTGCGCTGTGTTCCAGAAAAACTTCATTAATGAAAGCAGGTGGCCAGCTGGATTTGGCATGGACAGTAGTTTGCCAATCCCTGTTTAGGTCTTGGCATCCTGCTTCTCTTAAATTTCAGCCTTGCCTCCTGGATTATTTTAGCTGCTTTTCGAGGTCTCCGGTTCTATTGGGTCTTCCTGGGGCTCCAGTGTGCACAGTGCAAACTGCATTGGGTGAAGTACCACATTTTAAACAAGCATAGGACAATGTCTTCTGCTAGCTCTCCTGTCCAGGATTTGATTGATTTTTACGTAATTTAGTATATTGTTTTCAGGAAATACATTCTAATGGCTCATAGGTATCTGTGTCTATGTTGTAAATCGATAGCATGGAGCCATGTTTTGCATTACTTTCTTACTATCATATGTGTGCCTATGTTGAAACAGCTTCCAACCCTCATCCTCTCCCATCTTTTGAATTAACACTGTCAGCTAGCAGAGCCTAATGCAATCAGTGGATTTGGAGATGTTTCTCAGTTTCTTCTTGCAAATCATTTGTAAGAATGATAAGACCAATCCATCCTAGCATTAATTCTGGTGGTCCTCTGCCCTTTGCTCTTTTCTTTCCAGAACTGTACCCATTTAGTCAGACCCTTTGTTACTAGTGCGTATACATCTTTCTGAGTCACTTTTTTTTCCTTCGGAAACAGTCCCCCAAATCAAGAGGCCAGTTAGTATTTTAGACTTCATGAAGCAAATGATCTCTGTTGCAACTACTCAACTCCAGTCTTTTAAATAACAACAACAAAAACAAAATAATAAGTCAATATAACAATTATGGGTTTGTTTGGTTTTTCAATATATTCAACAATGTGCTGGGAATAACATGAAACCTAGTTATATGCAGAGACTACCATCATCATTTTCTTTTTTTATAAGTACTTATAACTTGTGTCTTGTATGATAGTGAGCTGTTAAAGTACCTAAACAAGTCACTCATCTTTTTATATGTTTAATATTTATAAGAAACATCTGTCATCTTAATCTCTTGCCATTTTTATTTGACTTATCAGTGAAAAGCAAATAAGCCCATATGTTTATGACATCATCTGTATTAGAACATTTTGGCATAGGAGAAAAGCAAACATCCTCAGAATCTTAAGTTTTTTCATTGTGAAATTATTATAGCCTTCATCATCACCTATGCGTTCTACTCTCCCAGTTGAAGATACTTTCCTAGTAAAAATGTGCATCACCTAAACACATCTTAATTTTAGTAGAACCATGTATTCTTAAGAAAGTTGCTTGATCACTTACATTCACTTTGCTGGTACATAGTTCATACATGATAAACTAGTCTTTTTCTTTTGAAGATTTCATTTGCTAGAGGTTACTGTGTGGCCAAGAGAAGGTTTTCCCCATTATGTGACATATTCCCAGATGCCCCTCTGTTTGTTCCAGTGAAGAATTTCAAGGATGTTGTTTTATCCCCTGATATACATGTGCTGTGGCATCTTTTAACGCCCTTCCAGTTCTGTATTTAGCAAAAGCTGGGGTGCGAAGAGTGAAGCTGGGAACAAATATGTATTTCCTAGGGTAGATCCATATTGGGTCTTTTCAACCTGGTGTCCACAAACAGTTTGAAGATCTGTAAAATTATTTTTTTTCTTGTCTTTATTTTATTATTATTTTTTTTCTTCACCCTATAACTGAAGATCTGTAAAATTCTAAGTTGGGATCTCTGTGTACTCAATACTCCATGCTAAAAACTTATCAGCCCTGTTGTCTGCCCTTTATATAATAAACTAGAGGCCTGGTGCACAAAATTTTGTGCATTCGGGGAGTCCCTCAGCCCAACCTGTGCCCTCTCCCAGCCTGGGACCCCTCAGGGGATGTCCACCTGCTGGCTTAGGCCTGCTCCCCAGCTGATTGGGCCTAAGCTGGCAGTCAGACATCCCTCTGGCAGCCCGGGAGCCCTCGGGGGATGTCCACTTGCCAGCGGGGAGCAGGCCTAAGCTGCAGTCAGATATCCTTAGCGCTGCTGAGGAGGCAGGAGAGGCTCCCACCTCCACCTCTGTGCTGGCAGCTGGCAGCCTGGCTTGTGGCTGAGCAGAGCTCCCCCTGTGGGAGCGCACTGACCACTAGGGGGCAGCTCCTGCATTGAGCATCTGCCCCCTGGTGGTCAGTGTGTGTCATAGTGACCAGTCATTCCCAGTCATTCTGCTGTAAGGGTCAATTTGCATAATACCCTTTTATTATATAGGATAGAGGCCTGGTGCACAGGTGGGAGCCAGCTGGTTTGCCCTGAAGGATGTCCCGGATCAGGGTGGGGTCCCACTGGGGTGCCTGGCCAGCCTGGATGAGGGGCTGATGGCTGTTTTCAGGCTGGTCAAGCCCCCCCGGTGGGGAACCTCACCCCATGGCAGTGTGGTCAGCCTGGGTGAGGGGCCCAGGGCTGTTTTCATGCTGGCCACAGCCCCTTCAGGGTGGGGGGGTCCCGCTGGGGTGCCTGGGTGAGGGGCTGAGGGCCGTTTTCAGGCTGGCCACGCCCCCCAGCGACCCAAGCTCCCTGCCTGTCCTTTTTTCTTTTTTTTTTTCAGCAGGTATCTGGCATTTATTTATCTTCTATAATTGAAACTTTGTAGCCTTGAGCAGAGCCCAGGTCCAGCCAGGGCAGGTGGGAAGTTTGGCTTCCTCCATCGCCAGGGGTACCCCAAGCCTCCTGCTCGCTCCAGCTCTGTGGCTGCCGCCATCTTTGTGACGGAGTGATGGAGTGATGGTTAATTTGCATATTACCCTTTTATTAGATAGGATGTGGCATGATTCCTCTATAATGTGAATATTAAGGCTAACTTTAGCTATTAACAAGATTCCCACACTCATTGGTGCAAAATGCTAATGTGAAAAGGGAAAACACGAAGTAAAGGTCAACTTAGTTGGATTGTGCCTAATGGAAAGAGCGCTTGTACAAAAATTGAGATCTCACCCTAAGTCCTCTGCTAGGTGGCCTTAAGTTACTTGTTTAACATCTCTGTGTTTCCTTCTTCCTCTGGCTGCTTGCTTTTTGAAGTTGTTCTTATGTGATAAAATGAGATTATTGAATTGAAAGGAGGTAACGACATGAAACTATATAAAGATGATAATAACTGCTGTTTCTGAGTGGACATTATGCCAGCCCAGGAGGTGAATGAAGTGGAGATTCTGGCTGAGGACCTCAAAGGAAATTTCAGTCTTTGCTTTTGTGCCTGTATTCACCCCCTTAAACTGTCCTGGAATTCAGCAGTCTCTGTCCCTGGTGCATGCAAAGTATGTGATTAATACCCCGAGAGGCTGGGGCTAGGATTTTCCTGCTTATATCCCCCATCACCAAAACTATTCCTCAGAAGGGCTGTGTGGCTTAGTGCTCTAGATAATCAAAATGTAAAGGAGCTTGTTAAAGAAAAAAGCCATTTGCAGGGTCAGCTGCTTCATTTGGCCTTAGTGTGGGTCCAAATTGCACATTGGTTCTTTTTAAAAGGATTGATATGTCAAGGGAACGTTTTACACCATTTCACTGCTCTAATGTTTGCAGAAGGTAAAGTTATCAGATGAGCCTGTAGAAGCAAAAGAAGATTACACTAAGTTTAATACCAAAGATATGAAGACAGAAAAGGTATGTGTGTCCAGACATAGTGGCATACACTTAGACTCAGTGAGTGATGCTGCATGGGGACATCTGGGAACAATTGCATGCTATTATGATTTTACAATTCTTTTGTTTTTTGTTAATCTTCACCCAAGGATGTTTTCCATTGATTTTTTAGAGAGTGTGAAAGGGATGGGGAGAGACAGAGAGAAACATCATGTGAGAGAGACAATTGATTGGTTGCCTCAGGCAGATGCCCCAACCAGAACCAACATACATGCCCAGAATCAAAACCAAGACCCTTCAGCCCGCAGGCCAACGTTCTATCCACTAAGCCAAACTGGCTAGGGCTGATTTTACAATCTTAACCATGAAGAATTATTAACTTGTTACTTAAATTTATTTCTGTGACTTAAACATCAATTCACAATTGTGAATGACAATGAAAATGTCTAGCAAGGAAGCCTTTAGGAATCTAAGAAAGGCTCAATGTACTTGGCAAAAGTGTGCCTAATCTTTTCATGTATTCAGAGGGGTAGGGTGGGGGGAGGGAGGGAGCTGCCACAGATAATGTTTTTTCAACTCTACTGTCCAGAAGTGTCCCAGCAATGATGATGACAAAAATTGGTAGTAAGTCCACCATTTAATAATCACCTAGGCCAGTGGTTGGCAAACTTTGGCTCCCGAGCCACATGCGGCTCTTTGGCTCCTTGAGTGTGGCTCTTCCTAAGCCTTAGGAGTACCCTAATTAAGTTAATAACAATGTACCTACCTATACAGTTAAGTTTAAACAATTTGGCTCTCAAAAGAAATTTCAATCGTTGTACTGTTGATATTTGGCTCTGTTGACTAATGAGTTTGCCGACCACTGACCTAGACAAATATTTTTATAACATTTCTTACTGTTTTATCTTATACATGCATTATAAATTTATATAGGTTTTTAAATTGGCATTGATATGTAGTTTTGGGTTCTGCCTTTTCATTTATCACTATATTGTGAGAATGTTTACTTGTTATTAAGCATGCTCTGAAAATTTATTAATTTTTTTATCATATTCACTTGTGTGTTATTTTACCATATGAAATATAGTTTATGCATTCATTCCCCTATTTTTGAACACATAATTAACTTAATTTTTTGTTTTTATGAAGTGATACACATTCTGATTTGTAGTCTGCATCTGATTATTTCATTAGACACAATTTAGAATTAAGAGTAAGAGCTTAGAAAATATGCGCTCCTTCCATAATTATTGATATATATAAAATGCTTTCCAAACATGTAGTAGAAATTTGTACTCCTAACCATTTTTCCTGATGAGTATTCATCTTCCATTCTTGACAACACTGAGTATTATTTTTATTCTTGAAAATGTTTGCCTGTGTAGTTAAGCTACATTTCTTTAACTAGAAGGTTCTTGGCCATTTGCATTTATGCCTGTTTTTATATTAGGATAGTAATGTTTTCCTTGTTAATTTGTAAGAGCCTGTTCTAAATTAAGGCTATTCATACTTTTCATGACATATAAGGAAAGTACAAAGAATTTTGAAATTTGTGTTTAGCCTTTTCATTTTTAAATAGTTTTAAGTTTTTCTCAGGATTGAATATAGAAATTGCTCTTCTTTATGATTTTCTCGTTATTTTTATGCTTAGAAAGACCTTGCCTATCCCAAAATGGAGTTAACTTCCACTTAGATTTTCACATTTACTCCCCTTATAATTTAAAGGGTTTTTTTTGTTTTGTTTTGTTTTTATATATATATTTTATTGATTTTTTACAGAGAGGAAGGGAGAGAGATAGAGTTAGAAACATCGATGAGAGAAAAACATCGATCAGCTGCCTCCTGCAAATCTCCCACTGGGGATGTGCCCGCAACCCAGGTACATGCCCTTGACCGGAATCGAACCTGGGACCTTTCAGTCTGCAAGCCGACGCTCTATCCACTGAGCCAAACCGGTTTCGGCATAATTTAAAGTTTTTAAATAAATTTTATTCTTTACATATAATTTATCTGGGCATGTGATATCAGGGGATAATCCAATTTGAGATATGGCTAAATACCTAGCTATCTCCATGGTTTCTGTGAGCAGGGATATTTTTGAGTTTCTTGGTGAGAAGTATTTCTGCCCCACCCTTTTAACTGTCCCTTGTATCCTCTAGGGCAGCAGGCGCCAACCCGTGGGTGGTCCGTGAGGTCCCAAAGGTTGGCAACCGCTGCTCTAGGGCATAGCACCAGTGAGATAACAGGATGTCAGTTAAATGCAGGGATGACTTATCTCAGAGACTGTCACTTTTCACTAACCCTACTAAATTATAAGTGACAGAATGTAAGAAGCAAAATTTCAGGGATCATGTATTGTGTCCTAAAAGATACTTTAGCAACAACTTTGTCTCATAGTTCCCAGAGAGGCAGCTGATTTTTTTCTTTGCTGATTCCCATTTATGCTTCTGTTGAACAAGTTGTGATGCATCAAAATAAAATCAGCTGCTATTTACCTTCTACTAGGACATGGCAAAAAAGAAAACAAAACTAAACAAAAAAATAGTGACCAGGAAGAGAGCAATTTACAAGGCAGAGATATTTGCAGTCAGCTTTTTGGAAAGTATTTTGTTTTTAGAGGGAAAAAAATGGGCCAGCTAGCTGGTTATCTTTTGAATATAGTAATATGTTTTTAAATTTATTTTTTTTGAATTTATTGGGGTGACATTGATTAATCAAATTATATAGCTTTAGGGAATTATATGCAGTTCTACAGTACATCATTTGTATATTGTACTGTGTGTTTACCACCCCAAGTCAAGTCTCCTTCTATCACCATATATGTTCTTGGTTTCCCTAGAGCCTTTGAATAAAATCAGATGTCAAATTGATGTGAATTATTCATCATGTAGTAATATAGGGCTGTAATTCCTTCCTCTGATAATTGCTGCCTGTGTCAGTTCCATTGTTTGTGTTACTGTACTTAATGCACCCTCCAGAATTATTCCCCTATAGTAAACTGTTGGTTGTGACATTCCACCTCAGAGAAGGCAGCAGTTTATCTCCTGCCTCTTTTAACATATTTTGTCTCTTAGGTTTGAATTCTGAATTGAAATCAGAACTTTTTAAAAATCAACACTCCCTTATGGAGCATGTTAGCAAATGCTTACCTCCCTTAATGAACCTTGAGACATGCATGGTCTGGTTTGATTTGCATGTGTGATTTATAAATGTTGCATTTGAAACAGTTTTTCTCTCTTATTTTCATAAACAGAAAAATAGCAAAATGACTGCAGCTCAAAAGGCGTTGGCTAAAGTTGACAAGACTGGAATGAAAAGTATTGATTCCTTTTTTGGTGCAAAAAATAAAAAAAAAGTTGGAAAGATTTGAAACTTTGAAAATGAAAAATGAAATCCAGCAGAAATGTTTTATCTTTTACAGTTCCACTTTTGTCCTTCCTCCATGTCACTGTACTTCCTGACCCTTAATCACCATCCTTTGAAATAAAATAAAAGAGCAGTTTTTAGATTCACTTGAACATTTCTTTGTATTTGAATTTTATGTTCCTAAACAAAATATGGGAAAGTAATTGTGGAGTCTTTTTTGACATACTGAAAAGTAATCAAGTGACTAGAGTCAACCTCTAGCATCTCAATTTCCCCAATAAACTGACATGTGACAATATTTGAGTGTGTGCCTGTTATTTTATGCAACTTTGCCATATGGTAGCTATAGCAATACGGTTTTCAGTATACTGAGAAGAAATAGCTATCTGATAGCAAAACTATCTGTAAAACTACTTTTTAAAAGCCTTTAGTTTTTGGCTTTTAAAAAAAGGCATTTTCTGCTTTCTAATGAAAACATGTTCTTTGTAGAAAATAGAAAAAAGTATAAAACAAAAATTGTAGTCTTCCAAGTCTTCATTACCTAGAGATAATATGATGCAAATAAATTTTTAAAGGAATTATAATTTTATAACCTTTTTTTTCTTGACATTTTCTGAGCATTTATCTGGGCTATTAACATGCTCTTTTAATTGCAGTAATTTTTAATTATTTGGATATTTGATTTTTTAATAACTGTGACCCTATTTTGAATATTTAGATTATTTTCAACTGTTCACTATTTAAAGAATCAGATTATCTATACTAATAAAAGGGTAATATGCTAATTAGACTGGATGTCTTCCGGATGTCCTTCTGGACAAAGCCACGGTGGTGGGGACAGAGGCGGTTAGGGGCAATCAGGCTGGCAGGAGAGAGCAGTTAGGGGCATTCAGGCAGGCAGGCAGAGGCAGTTAGGGGCGGTCAGGCAGGCAGAGGAGTGGTTAGGGGTGATCAGGCAGAGGGGTTAGTGGCGATCAGGCAGGCAGGCAGGGTGCTTGGGGGTGATCAGGCAGTCAGGCAGAGTGATTAGGGGTGATCAGGCAGGCAGAGGTGGTTAGGGGCAATCAGGCAGGCAGAGGAGTGGTTAGGGGTGATCAGGCAGGCAGGCAAAGTGCTTGGGGGTGATCAGGCAGTCAGGCAGAGTGATTAGGGGCTATCAGGCAGGCAGAGGTGGTTAGGGGCGATCAGGCAGGCAGGGGAGTGGTTAGGGGCAATCAGGCAGGCAGGCAGAGTGATTAGGGTGATCAGGCAAGCAGAGGGGTTAGGGGTGATCAGGTAGGCAGGCATGTGAGCGATTTTGCGAGAGGGATTGGGCCTAAACCGGCAGTCAGACATACCCCGAGGGGTTCCAGATTGTGAGAGGGTCTAGGCTGGGCTGAGGGAACGAATTTCATGCACTAGGCCTCTAGTATGTAAATAATTGTCCACATCTTTTATTGTTTCCTTAGAATGGATTTTTGGATGTGGGCTTACTGGTTTGTAACTAAGTTCTGCAAATATATATTTGTGGGAATATATTTCACAGAAAGTTTATAGATGAGGTAAGAACTCTCATCTTATTAAAGTTTAATAAGATGAGAGTTCTTATTTTATTCAATGCCACCTTGTTAGCTTTAAATATTGTCTTTGCAAATGAGTGAGGAATAGTCATTTTATTGTAGTTTTAATTCACATTTTCCTGATTAGTAAAGATATTGAACATTTTTTCATTTACTGATCATTTGTCATCTTATAAAGAGAATTATCTGTTTATGCCTGTGTTAAATTGGAGTGTCAGTACTTTTCTAGTTGACTCTAAAAGTATTGTAAAATATTATACTTAGATGTTTCTCTTTACAGGAAAACGTACTAGTAATTTCTTCTACTTTTTTAACAGTTATTTTTGTTTTATATTTAATTACTTAAATCATCTAGAGAATTTATATTTAAGTATGCTGTGAGCAAAGCTCTAATTTTATTTCCTCACCTGCTTATTTTTCCACTAGTTCTGTAGGATTCTAAGAGTTTCAATGGGATTTTTATTGATATTTTTGTTAAACCCATAAAATTTGGGGGAAAAACAGACATCTTTATTAATCAGTGTTCTCATTCAGGAATATAGTATTTCTCTGTATTTACTAAAATCCTAATCATATCTTTCACTAATAACATATGGTTCTTCATCTTTATATAGGTTGCAGATACTTTTTTTTTCTGGGTATTTTTGTTGCTATAATTGAATATTTTTTTAATTAGATCTACTAACTGGCTATTTTGTGGTAAATGTTACATCCTATATAGTAAAAGGCTAATATGAAAATTGCCCCCTCGATCGGGAGTTCAACCAGAAATTCGACCAGGGGGCGGAGCTGGCTGGCTAACCACCCACAGCCCCTCCCCTGGCTGACCGTGGCCCCTCCCCTGGCCAGCCCCACCCTCGGTTGGAGGCGGGGCTAGCCAACCAACCAACTGTGGCCCCTCTCCCAGATGTCTGAGGCCCCATTCCCTGGCCGGCCCCACCCCTGATTGGCCTCCTGCCCCAATCAAGGGTAGGGCCAGCCAACCACCCACGACCCATCTCCCCAGCTGGCCTGGCCCAATAGGTCCCAATCAGGGTGGGCCAGCTGGAACCCCCATGCATGAATTCGTGCACTGGACCTCTAGTTTTTATATATTTACTAGAGGCCCGGTGCACAAAAATTTGTGCACTCGGGGGTAGAGCGGGTCCCTCAGCCCAGCCTGTGCCCTCTTGCAGTCTGGGACCCCTCGGGAGATAACGACCTGCTGGCTTAGGCCTGCTCCCGGGTGGCAGAGGAGAGGCCCAATCCCTAGGTGCAGCCCCTGGTCGGGCTCAGAGCAGGACTGATTGGGGAGTTGGGGCGCCACACCCTGTCATGCACAGAGCAGGGCGGATCTGGAGGTTGCGATGCCACTCCTAGTCACGCTCAGGGTAGGGCCGATTGGGGGATTGGGGCACCGCCTCCTGTCACACTCAAGGCAGGGCCGATAGGGAGGTTGCAGCGCCACCCCATCACGCACAGAGCAGGGCCGATCAGGGGGTTGGGGCGCTGCCCCCTATCACGCACAGAGCAGGGCCCATCAGGGGGATTGGGGCTCCGTACCCTGTCACACACAGAGCAGGGCCGATCAGTGGGTTGAGGAGCTCCCCTCTGTCACGCACAGAGCAGGGCCTATCAAGGGGTTGGGGAGCTCCCCCCTGTCAGGCACAGAGCAGGGCCCATCAGGGGGTTGGGGACCTCCCCCCTGTCATTCACAGAGCAGGGCCGATAGGGGAGTTGGGGCACCCCCCCCATCATACACAGAGCAGGACGGATCAGGGGGTTGGGGTGCCGCCACTGTCACACTCAGGGCAGGGCCAATGGGGGGGCAGGGGGGGTTGGGGCGCCGCACCCTGCCACACACAGAGCTGCAGGGCGATCAGGGGGTTGGGGAGCTCCCCCCTGTCACGCACAGAGCAGGGCCAATCAGGGGGTTGAGGAGCTCCCCCCTGTCACGAACAGAGCAGGGCGGATAGGGAGGTTGTGGCCCTGCCCCCTGTCACACACAGAGCTGCAGGGCGATCAGGGTGTTGGGGAGCTCCCCCCGTCACACACACAGCAGGGCCGATCAGGGGGTTGGGGCGCCGCACCCTGTCACACACAGAGCTGCAGGGCAATCAGGGGGTTGGGGAGCTCCCCCCTGTCACGCACAGAGCAGGGCTGATCAGGGGGTTGAGGAGCTCCCCCCTGTCACGAACAGAGCAAGGCGGATAGGGAGGTTGTGGCCCCGTCCCCTGTCACACACAGAGCCACAGGGCGATCAGGGGCTTTGGTCGCTGCCCCCTGTCGCGCTGATCCCGGTGCTGGGAGGCCTTGCGGCTCCGCTGATCCCGGTGCTGGGAGGCATATTACCCTTTAACTATATAGGATAGAGGCCTGGTGCATGGGTGGGGGCTTGCTGGTTTGCCCTGAAGGGTGTCCTGGATCAGGGTGGGGGTCCCGCTTGGGTGCCTGGCCAGCCTGGGAGAGGGGATGATGGCTGTTTGCATCTGGTCACACCCCCTTCAGGGTGGGGGTCCCGCTTGGGTGCCTGGCCAGCCTGGGTGAGGGGATGATGTCTGTTTGCATCTTGTCACACACCCTTTATGGTGGTGGTCCCCACTGGGGTGCCTGGCCAGCCTGGGTGAGGGGCTGAGGGCCGTTTTCAGGCTGGTGGGTGACTGAAGCTCCCAACCTGTCCTTTTTTCCTTTTTTTATTCTGGGCCAGCTTTAGCTCTGAGGCTCGGCTCCAGCTATGAGACCTCCGCTGCTGAAAGCAGGTTTCTGGGCTTTGTTTACCTTCTGTATTTGAAACGATGTTGCGGTCCTGCTGGCTGAAGCCCGGGGTTTTGTTTAGTTTCTATATTTGTTACAATGTTGCTTAGAGTGCAGCTGAGAGGCCGGCAAGGCAGGCGGGGAAGCTTGGCTTCCTCTGTCACTGAAGCAAGCAAGCCTCCCTCTTCACATCAGCTGCCTGGCTGCCGGCCGCCATCTTGGCTGGCAGTTAATTTGCATATCGCCCTGATTAGCCAATGGGAAGTGTAGCGGTCGTACGCTAATTACCATGTTTCTCTTTTATTAGATAGGGTATTTTAAATATCCAATTTACTAAACTATTAATATAAAGTTTTTTCATATTCATATTAAGTTTATAATACATAAGTTTATAATCTTACTCTGAAAAATGGTGTGCAATTCCTTCTAATAGTTGTTACTCTTTTATATGTTTTCTATCATATTACCATAAGAATAGCTAGGATAGTGTTGTAGATAATAATAGTGGTCATCTTTGTCTAATTTGTGATTTTTTAATGTACTTTAGCACTAATTCTGACACTAGCTGTTAAGATGATAAATATATCAATTTTTTTTATATTTACTTTCAATACTTATAGTTTCTTTAAAGTTTAAATTAGTAATTGGGTATGTTGTATTAACTATCTCTTTGTCACCTAGGACTAAGAAGTATTTTTTACTATTACACTATACTTGAGTTCCTACCTGACAATAGATCAAGGACAGCATAGATTTCCCTATCTGGTTTAGCCACAGTCAAATCTAATTTTCAAGGCTTTTATTTAGGATGTTTCATCCTATATTCAAAGGAAATATTGCTGTTAAGTTTTAGTATCAGA